AAATACTTACGACCTACTGACAAAAAACTTAGTCTATAAAATGGAGCTTTGGACATAATAGGAATGTACTGTATATTTTTTTTTAAGGAGTTAATAGTATCATTTTCCTCTTAGATAATTTAGGGCACAGTTCTACCCAGAAAAAAAAAAAAAAAAAAATAAAGGCTTTTAATACTGGCTTTGATTCTGACAATCTTGAGGAATTCAAGTCCCTGTAAAGGACCTATGACAAACAATATAGGCTTTGGAAGATTAGTAAGCAATTGTATCTTACAGGGTATTTTAATAACCTTAGCTGTAAGACCACACAACAGCAGAAGATTGGTAGGTAAAATAAAATAAAAAAAAATTAAGCTGTGAGAGTTTGCTTTAATACTTTAATTTTTTTTTTTTTTTAATCAACCACACTTAGAAATGACAGTATGTGCATCTTAACTTGTCACTTGATAAATGCTGCAGGTTAATTTGTACTTGGTGCAGCATTCAACTAAAAATGATATTTTTAATGGCTAACCCCTTGGCTTGAAAAAGTTTTGCTAAACAAGACACCCAGACATGTTTCTTGGCAGCTGTTCTTTCCTATGGCCTCACCCTGGTAGGACTTAGGAGATAGCACAGCTATCTGAAGGGGCAGAGCAGGCAGGCTTGCTGCATCTCTTGGAGCAAGCCTTCATTGCACAGCAACATTAATAGGCTCTGATGTAGCTGTTAACAGAAGAAATAGTCACGCTGTAGGCACAGGCCCATGCATACCCTTCTTGTATGTATTCTAAGAAGAGAGCAAGGGAGGAACATCCCAGTTCTTTCCCGTGAAAGTAACTCTTTTTTACATCTTAAAATCAAAATAAAACATCTAAAATTAAATGCTCCCAACCATAAAAACTAAGAATACCCAATCTGAGTTTCATTGTTCTTGGATAAGTATGCTCTTTTACAATACATCAAATGTGTTTGAACTCTACAAACTGTATCAAATAAATACCTACTGACAGATCAGCTTGTGCCTTAGTGTACTAATTTCCTATGTATCATTTCAGGAAAGCAGTTGTTCCCTACATGACGGAAGTAGGTATTATGGCTACCTGTACAAATAGGTGTGTGTTTGTTTTTTTCATACAGTGGGAAAGTCTAGTGATAATATCCTTGTTTCTCAACTTATGGTTTTGTATACTTCCAGTTACTGTATGCTATCCTAAACAGTCCCCTGTGAGGCAGTTTTGAAATACAAATGTGAATAGTAAATTATCTTCAAAACAAGTCAAGCCAATCACATCTATGTACCTGTATCAGAACATATACACATTTTCCTCTGATGATGATGTTGATATAACTATTTCACACCAACTGGAGATGCCATTAAGGCAAGAGATTTCAGAGTACTTTAAAAATAGTTTGTCTACATAATTACATAAGCATCCATGTTACCACAGGCTTACCAAGAATTTGACAGTAACAGAAGTAACTAAGACCAGTAATTCATACTGAAGGTGGTTGTGCTTTTGCTGCCACAGCATCACCACTTTGAATGTTATTTGTTTTGCAAAGATAAATTACTTCCTCCTATGTGTGCTATCACTCTACTCATAAACCATAAGATGTGTGACAGTGCATCTCTGCAACCAAAGCCCCAAAGGAGAGCAGCAGCACATTATCAACGGCTTCAGGCCACTTTCTTATCTGTCCTGTGAAACTCTCCAACTGGAAACAGACACAGTGGCCTGTGTTACACAACACCTAAGAGCTGGAGTGAACATTTGGGTATTGTTTGCACCGAGGCTGCAGAGCATTCTGTCCTTCTTTAATTGCAAGCAGTTTGCAATTGAATCAGTTTGCTGTACAGATGACTGTAGCTGCAGGGTGCAAACAGGTCAAGAGCATCTAACAGACTTACTAGTTAAATTAGAAACCATAGCAAGTGTTCTCAATACGTAGGTTCTAGACCCTGAAAATGAAGTATATCAGCAAGGGAAGTGCCCAAGACTGATTAACAGGTTGCTGCAAAACAGTGAAGATCACAGCTGTGCTTAGCAGCAGCCTCCACCCAACAAAACAAAAAGATGGAGACTGAAACATACTACCTTGCTCCAAATGATGCCAAGCTTCAGAAATGCAGAAGACTGACAGGTCAGCTGACAAAATGGAGCAGCTTTGGTTTAGCTTGCCAAGCATCACCTTAGAAAATATGCCTGCTTAGTACATGTCTGCTGGAAGAGCTCAGCAAGCTGCACAAGGTGACCAGCTGAGCCACCTCTGCCTGAGGTGCCTCACAGCTGGGCTTGTTAGCTCAGCAATGAGCCTTTCGAACCACGGCTACATTACTTGGAGGCAGCTCCACATCTGAATCGAACATCTGTCAAAAAATTGCTGTGGCCACATGGGACAAATTACTGATTCGGAGATAAAACATGTCACCAAGAAATGAACTAGTTCTGACCAAGGAAGTCAGGGGCACAGATCATGACACAGGAAGGGGACAATATGCCCCATGCAGCTGAGTCACAAGGCAGAGTGTAGAGAGCACAGGCAGGATGCACAACCTTCCCACCAAACCCTCCAGCCACTGCTGCTGCAGTACCAGCACCACACAAGCAACTCCCTTGCTCTATTTCCAAAGCAATGCTTAAAAGCCAGAAGAGAGGTTGCTTGGAGTAGTTCACCTTGTGGCCCCACCCTATTCAGCAAGCTGGTCAGAGACTTCAGATACTGTCTTCAGAACCAGCTAGGTTGCTGCAGACTGCATTTTCTTCCTCAGTGCAAGAAACACACTCACATAGTGCCACAAACTCAACCTGGACAGTGGTCCTCAACAAACTCCTTCACAGCAGCCTCTAGAAATACCTCACTTAGTTCCCAAAAGCAATGTTATAAACTCCTGGGCAGCCCGAAGAGAAAGGAAAGAAGGGAACGCCACCATGTGAAGTTGCAAGCAGCAAAGGCATTTTTGCACCTCCTCCACCACTACAATGTATAAACGGAAGCAAACACCTTTGCAATTCAAATCCACCCACCATACAGAGCTATGTGTACGTCACTTGAAGCCACTTCCTGAAATAAAGGCCTAAATGAAGCTGAGCTAAACTCTGACCAATTTAACCCACTTACAAAATAAATGCACCAGGCATAACGTACAATCCATGGAGTTACTCCTGATGCACACCAGTAGCTCCCACAATAAGCAAGGCAGTTACACTGAGGTCTGAAAGGATGCTTGTTTTTTCCCGGGCATTTTTCTCCCTCCTTCATGAATCCTCAACACTGCTGGAAGTGTTTTGCTATGGTTACCAAAGCTGAGGCAGAGGCGGTGCTGAGGATTACTTCACGGGCTGAGAGACACACAGACTACTTATCTGCTGCAAATGATAAAACTTATGAACTGTTGACTAACCTCCCCTAGCAATAAAAGGGCACAGATAACATTGTTTCACTTCGTGGTGCACAGGCTGCTGTTTCCTTGCTTTTCTACCAGCTCAGGTCTGTTTTATTAGTGCCTCCAGAGCAGCACTCCTGTGCTGCCAAAGCGGCAGGTGGGTCCACGACTCGGCGAGACAGCCGCCCTCACACCTCGCTGCCATGCCCGGGCGAGGTGGGGCCGACACAGGCAAAACGGGAAGTTCACCTAATAGCCTGTTTGGGGTTGCAGCTGCATTATGCATGCCCGAAGCAAGGGGAAAAATACCGTTCCTTGCTTGGTAAGCACCTGCTTTCAGCACCATATTGCTGCACTGTCAAGTTCTCCTCCAGCTGTGGACATCTGGTAAAAAACTTACTTAACCTTGGCTTGCTCCTGGGTGCTGCCAGGTAGACATCAGCCCACTGGATTTGCAGATGTCACTAATTTCAGCTAATTGCCTTCAAGCCAGACCGATCCAAAGGAGGAAAAAAGTAATAGAAGTATTGAATGTTACACCAGTACTGCCTTCACATGTATGTACTGTCCTAGGAAAAAGTGAAGAGTACCTAAAGTGCACCTTGGTAGCACAGCCCTATCTGTAAAGAACATGCATCCTCCGATTAGGGTAAAAAAGACATGACTGGAGCAATCCATATAACACCATCGTGAAAGACTCAATGTCCCCAGAACCCTCAACCAGGATTTATCAGCAAAGCCTTTATCATTAGCCTGCCTGACCAACCTAGAGGCCTTCTATGGTGGAGTGACTACATCAGCAGACATGGGAAGAGTGATGAATCTCCTTTTGGAAATGATGGGCACTACTGGTACTTGGCATGTCTAAGAACCCAGACAACACCAAACAAAATAAATCATCCTGGTTTAAAAATATATTTTTCCTAAACCTTCTTTGTTCATTCCTACCGTATGTTACTTGGAAAAGATACATTGTAGTGTACTTCAGTTTCTCAACTTCCAAAATAAGTATGACCTTGATTGCTCTCACCAGCATAACTATTATAATTCTGTAACATCACCTTGGCAGTGATACAAGCTGAGGTGGCCAAATACAAAGCAGTAATGGTGCAGAACCCATGCTCAGCTAGTAAGAGCTGAGCCTCATCACAGACTAAAGTCTTGGCTAGAATTTTATAGTGTAGTGTAAATTCTTATATTACTCTAAACACTTCTGGACTCTAATATTCATAAATCTTGACAACACCTCAAGAAAATCGAAAGTATTATTCTCAGTTTTTAGAAACTAAACTGAAACTAAACATGTGAATGTTGGGCATGATACTTAATTGCATAATGATACACAAACCACTTCCAACTGTAATTAACAGCTCCTTTAATTGAAAGTGGCTTACTTTCCCTCTTTAGAACTGACAAGTCTCTAATCTTCAGCTGAAGTGTGATCTTCTCAGGTCATTTTCTACCTTCACTTTCAATGACAACATGAAGACAGGATAATTTTCAAGTTTTCATACATTTAACTTACTCTAACCCCTTTTCGTTAGAACTAGAAAACAGTCCTTGTTTGACATACCATTTCATAAGTTGCATTATGAAATTCTATTGAAAACAAATTGAATAGGCTTGTTCTTACCTTGGTAGGAAGACACTTTCCACTACATAGAAGTCTTGCATAAGAACATCTCTGTCTGGTTTTGATGTAAGGTTTCCTACTGTGTATCCTATTCCCAGCTGGATAGCACCTTTAATAGCTGAGGATGCAGTCTGTGTAGAAAGCAAGAATTCACACATGAGTTTGCTAAAAATATATTTCTGTTCTTTATCAGTAACATTATATACAAAACTCTTAATCATTTTCATAATAACAATGTCATATCATCTCTGCCTCCTAGATCTCAGAGAAATGACTACTTCTAAACTGAAAGATTTAAAAGAAACACTATGTGTGCACTATATGTAGCAAAAGCTGTGAAAAAGAGTTCTCTGGTTATACAGACCAAGACTTTTCAAATTGCCCAAATGACTTAGACATTGGGCTCTAACTCTTCACAGAATCAGATTACCATGTTGGAAGGAACCTCAAGAATCATCTAGTCCAACCCTTCTTGGCAAAAGCAGTCTAGACAAGATGGCCCAAAACCCTGTCCAGCTGAATGTTAAAAGTGTCCAGTGTTACGGGATCCACCATTTCCCTGGGGAGATTATTTCAATGTATGATTGTTCTCATTGTGAAAAAATTTCTTCTTGTGTCCAATCAGAATCTCCACAGGGGTAACTTGCACCGGTTACTCCTCGTGTCTTCCATGTGATTCCTTGTAAAAAGGGAGTCTCCATCTTCTTTGCAGCCACCCTTTAAATACTGGAAGATGGTGATAAAGTCTTCCCTGAGCCACCTTTTCTCCAGGCTGAACAAACCCAGTTCTCTCAGCCTTTCCTCATATGGCAGCTTCCCAGTCCTTTGATCATGTCTGTGGCCCTTCTCTGGACCTTCTCCAGTCTGTCCACATCTGGTATAGTGTATCCCACTTTGCATGGTGGGGAACAAAACTGAACACAGGGTTCCAGCTGTGGTCTGACAAGCTCTAGGTGGAGTGGCACAACAACTTTGCTTTCTCTGCTGGCAATGTCACTGTTGATGCAGCCCAGCATCCTGTTGGCTATTGTTGTTGCTGCAGCACACAGTTCACTCAAATTGAGCTTGCCCACCAGGACTCCCAGGTCCCTTTCCCCAGAGCTGCTCCCCAGCCAGCCAGGTGCTGCACTCCTGGATTATATTTTCTCAGATGCAAGACCTTACACTTGTCTTTGTTGAACTCCATAAGGCTCTTGGTATAAACCCACTCTTCCAGCCTATACAGCTCTTCTTGCAGGGTGACTCTCCCTTCTACAGCGGGTCCACTTCTCCACTTACTCTGGTATCATCAGCAAACTTCATCAGGGTACACCTGATCATCCAGATCACTTATGAAGGTATGAAACAGCGTTGGGCCCAATATCAGTCCCTGGGGATCCCACTTGTGACAGGTTGCCAGGTTGAAAGAGCTATTTACCCCCACTCTCTGGGTGTAGCCTGTCACTCACCACAAAGAACACCCATCTATACTGTAACACATCAGTTTCTCTAGAAGGAGGCTGTGGGGAACTGTATGGAAAGCCTTCGAGAAATCCAGGTAGACTATGTCCACCATTCACCCCACATCAACCAAACAGACTATTTTATCATAGAAAGAGATCAGGTTTGTCAAGCATGATTTCTCCTTGGTGAATCTGTGCTGGCTTTTACCAGTCACGTGTTTCATATGACTTCTGACAGCCCCCAGGAGGATTTGTTCCATAACTTTGCAAGGGACTGAAGTAAGATTGATGAGCTTATAACATCCTGGACCCTCCTTTAAGCCCTTCTTGTAGATATTGGTGACATTACCCTTCTTCCACTCTTCTGGGATGTCCCTCAATCTCCACAACTTCTCAAAGGTTACAGAGAGCAGCCTCATAATGACACCAGCCAGCTCACTTAACACCCAAGGGTGGATATTGTCAGGGCCTATTGATTCAAGCTCCTGTAATAGTTCACATGTCAACTCTTCCTCTACCAACAGTGGGTTTATGTTTGTCAGCATGGATTTTTGTTCCCAAGGCCTGGGTCCCAACAGTTCTAGTAAAGACAGAGGTAAAGAAAATGTTGAGAACCTCTTCCTTTTCAGTGTTGTTGTTGACTAATTCACCTCTCCTTTTTAACAGTGGGTCAGTATTTTTCTTCTATTTCTACTTGTTATTTAAGTACCTGAAGAACTCTTTCTTGTAGTTTTTGACATCTCTGGCTAATTTCAAGTTGAGCTTTTGCTTTTCTAACTGCATTTCTCCATGCCCTGGCAATGCCCTTGTATTTCTGAATGGGTATTTGTCTGGTTTCCCATCTCTGGTATGCTTCTCTTTTGGTTTCGAGCACATTGAGAAGAAACTCACAGTTAAGCCCATGGGATCTTGTCCTCCACCTACTTCCCTTCCCTTTAAAGAGGATGAACCAGTTTTGTGCTTCCAGGAAAGGATTTTTTAAAAACTCACAGCGCTTGCTAGCTCCTTTGTCTTCCATGGAAGCCCTCCCAGCTCAGCTCTGAGCAAGCTGAAGTTTGCTCTTCTACAATCTAAAACCTCTGTCTTAGTACTGACCTGCAGTGTGCTCAGCAGGGTCCCAAACTCCACAATATTGTGATTAGTACAGCCAAGGATATCACTAAATGAGATATTACAAATCAGATTTTCTTAGTTTGTGGGTAGGATGTCCAGCAGTACCTCATTCCTGGTTGGCATATCTAACATTTGTATGAGGAAGCAGTCCTCAACATGTTCCAGGAATCTGATGAAGGACGCATGAGCTACTGTATTGTTCTTCCAACAAATGTCTGGGTAGTTAAAAGTTAGCCACAAGAACCAGATTCTGTTGGCCTAGAGTTTGTTTAAGTGATATAAATACTGCTTCATTGACCTTATTTACTTGGTTTGGAGGTTGGTAGTGGATACCTATTGTAAGATTCCCCTTGAAGTTGATCCCTCTGATCCTGACCCAGAGGCATTTGATAGGGCTTCCACAACTGCCATAGTTTACTTCTATATATTCAAGGTTTTCCTTAAAATAAAGCATAACTCCTCCTCCTCTTCTTTCCTGCCTGTCAAGAAATAGCCTACGGCCATTCATCGTGGTCCTCATAAGACATTTTCAATCTAACTGCTTCATTCAAACTGTTTCATGAGTTTGAAACAGCAAGCATTAGTTTCTGGAAGAAACAGTCAACTTCCAGGTGCTTGCACATGCATGACAAAGCACCACAATGCACACTAATGGTTGAAAAGCAGATTCTGGTTTCAAATGTATTTATTAAGTTTTAACTAAATGTCAGTGCAAGAGGTGCATTAACTAGGGGAAATCCAGAGAGAAATTAAAGTGATTATGAAAGAAAAGTCTCTATTTAAAAATCCATATGCATAGAATGAGATGACTTATATTGAACAAATTCACCACTTTGAAGATACTAAATCAGTGCCTGTTTTCAGGTTTTACATGACACCCACCAAACAAGAAGAGACTGTATCAGTGAAAGCAAAGAACACCAGAAGTTTCACCATGGTCAGAACTACTTCAGCACTTGAGCAAGAACATTTCAGGAGTGGGAATTACAGAAGAAAGGATTCAAGGACATAAAATCGTTCTTGTTATAGTTCTCAGAACAGCATATGCTGGAGTGACTGCGTATTTTTAGAAAAGACAGATATGTGTAGCTTCTAAATAATTAAGACTGCACATCAAGCAGAACTTACACTTGCATAACAGTTTAGAACAGGCAATTTGGTGGGAACAAACAACACCACCATTCTTACACTGCTACTTTGACTATTAAAAGGATTTGGCTTTGTATCATAAGAAGATTCACATTTTTCTTTCCTTGAAAGGCCTCTATTCATGAATGATTAATGCCCCAACAAAAGCAGTAATTATGTAACTTCGATCAAACCAATATCCAAACAACTCGAGTTTCTGCTTCACAGCTAGAAGCTCACTGCCACAGCAACAGACAGTGTCTGCAAGAGCAGCAGATAGCACAGTACTGTATTTTATTAATGCGAGAGGATAAGCCATTTCAAAAAACAAACTAAAAAAAAAAAAATCCCAAGGCAGGTAATCTGGCAATGCAATTTCAACAGGAGAACCCTGGATCACCTTTCAAGCTCATAAACAATTTCTGTAGAATTTCTGCACATTCAAAAAAAGACCTACAGTCTCCGGAGGGCAGAATGTAAGGCCTTCCACTAGCATGGTGCAGACAAGATAAACTACAAAGTTATCTTCTTGTTAATTTCCACTCCTATTCAAGAACGCCATTAGTAATCATCCATCATTTCTGCAGCAATCACAGCAACAGGTTTAACAGAAAAGCAGAGTTATGAAACCACTCAGGATACTTTTACAACTGTTTTAAAACAAGTTGACAGCAGCTACAGCATGTAGCAGAAGACCAGTGCTGGCCCAAAGTTAATTGTTTGTGACCTACTGTTCAAGTTAACCCCCCCAGAAGGCTGGTCACCCAATATCCCCTTAGCAATGACAACGTTTTGTTTTCACAAGCCTTAAAATGAAAACAAAACAAACCTTTGAATCTGTCTCAACGCAAACACTTGTCTTGGTCTAACTTCCTTATTAATGTTTTGCGATTAAGTACAGAATCCAAGGAAGATATAAAAAAAGTTCCTTCTCAAGCCTTAGGCTAAATGTTCTTGATTCATCCATTTTATTACTACAAGAATGTCTTTACTGGAATCTACAAATGCAAATGGAAAAATTGAACTGTCTCAGGCATTTTTTCTTTACTCAGTCTCCTCTTAATGCCCATGAAGGCAGCAAAATCTAGTTTTGAACCTAAGCCCTTTATTTCTTTCAAGTCTTGAATACTCTTCTGCTGTAGAGCAAGCAATAACATTCAGCAACCTTCTGTGCCACGAGTTTGCTCTTTCAGAGACTGAAATAATTTTTTCCTCCTATTAGCCTCATGCAAAAGTTCAGAAAGTGGCCATGAGTCCATGTGTCAGCCGCAGCTGTAGAGCTGACAGTGTACAGGGACTGCACAATGACTCTTCAATCATTTACCTATTCTCAGCCAACACCTTCTGAAGCTCCAAGAAACCAAAGAATGAGACTAAGCAGCAGCAAAAATAACTTGAGCTGATGAATTTTACGCCATGAAACTAACTGGATTTGTAGCAAATGGCGC